AAGAACACTCTATTTGCATCATCTCCTGTCACTGTCCCACCCCTCTCCATGCTTCCTCCACCTTACTACACATCTTCATGTCCTTGACAAAGAGAATTCATTTTTACTTTCCAAGGTCTTTGGAAACTCTTCCTCATCCTTTAAAAGTCTGCCTAGTCCTATCTGGTTTGGCTCAGTGGATAGAGCATCAGCCTAGGGACTTCAGGGTCCCAGATTTGATCTGGTCAAGGACGCATGCCTGGGTTGCAGGCTTGGTTCCCAGTGTGGCGAGTGCAGGAGGCAGTGGATCAATGATTCATTAAAAAAAAAAAAAAAGTTTGCTTAGAAGTCATTTCCCTGGGGTTACTAACCTTTCCTGAGTGTTTTCCCTTGTTCTATGCGCCTGTAGCACCATAGAAGACTTAATCCCATGAGTGATTTCTTAATGTCCTTTCTACCCTTCAACGGCAAACTCTAGGAAAGTTGGAACCTCATCTATTTTGTTCACCATTGCGTTCCTAGTATCCAGCACAGAACTTTTATTTTTATTTTTATTAGGTAAAATTCACATGTAGCAAAATGTACATACCTTAAGAATACAATTTAATGAGGTTTGAGAAGTATCATTCCAATCAAAGATGGTACATTTTTATTTCCCCAAGAAATTCCCTCATGCCAACCCCTACCACTTACAGCAACGATTTTCTATCACTATAGATTGGCTTGCCCTGTCTCTGTGCTTCACAGAAGTGGAATCAAAAGGTATATTAGGCTTTGGGGTCTGGCTTCTTTCATTCAACACAGGCTTTGTAAGATTCAATCCCGTTGCTGTGTATACAGGTGGGGGTTGTTCATACTTTAGGAATATGATGAATAAAACTGCTATGACTATTCATGCACAAGTATTTGTGTGGCTTTGTGTCTTCATTTTCCTTGGAAGTACCTGGGAGTAGAGTTTCTAAGTCACTGGGCAAGCGTATAGTTAATGTGTTTACCAGTATGTTTCGGACTGAGTGTTGCCAACAGCTTCCCAAAAGTGGCAGCAACATTTTCCATGTCCTTCCCACTCTGCTTGCCACACACCATCCCTGATTTGGTGTTGCTGATCCTTTTAAGGTTTCACCTACTCTGGGAGTGTGATGTGTTTCTAATTTATATGTATTTCTCTAATGACACAGAATATATTTTAATGTGCTTTCATTGTGGTTCTAAATTATATCTCCCTAATGACATCAAATATTCTTTCAGATGCTTATGGGCCATTTCAGTATCTTTTGAAAAATGTTCTAATTGATTTTTAGAGAGAGAGGAAGGGAGAAGGATAGATAAATAGAAACACAATGAAAGAGAAACATTGACTGGCTTCTTTCTGCATGAGCCCACAACCCAGGCATGCGCCCTGACCGGAAATCAAACCGGCGACCTCTTGGTTCCTGGTCGTCACTCAACCACTGAACCACACTAGCAGGGCTCAATACCTTTTTTGGTGAAGTGTCTGTGCAAGTCTTTTCCAGCTTAAAAAGTTGTGCTGTTTGTTCTTTTTTTATTGATTTGCATGCCACTTCATATATTCTGAATACAATCCATTTGTCAGGTGTATGCATTTCACATATTCCTGTCTGCTTGGGCAAACACGGTGTTTTATAGTAAGGATTTAATAAACCTAAACTGAATTAAGTTGAAAGGAATGGAAGTGACTTGCCTGGGGTGGATGTGGGGGCCTGAGGTTAACTCTACTGACAAGCCATGCCATGGCCTTGTGACTTCCAGCTGCTGTCAAGCTTTCTCTGCTGCTCCGACATCTACTCATGAAGGACGGACACTTTCCGTACAGCTCTTCAACCATCTGACTGGCATTAGCATCATGTGCCCAGTATCCCTAAGGTACTTGGAAAGAGAAACATACACTTTCCCTTATCATACAAATATACATAATATGATGGTAGACTTATAGTGAGAACTTGGAAGAATACTCTGAGTTAACTGGCTCTGGTGATTTCTTCAGAATCTAGTGTGTTTTGATTATGATGTATAATCTAGATTTAAAAGCCAATGTCCTATCCTTAGACTATAAAAATGGATTCATGCACCTACAAGTACTTAATTTTTGCAAATAAAAATGGTATATATTTAAAATATACAACATGATTTGATATATGTATATGATTATGAAATATGAAATGATTTTCACAATCAAGCTAGTTAACAATTCACTCAAATCCCATAATTACCCTTTTCTGGTGTGTTGTGGCAAGGACACTTGAGGTCTATTAGTATATTTCAAGTATACAACGCATTACTACTAACCATAGTCACCACGCTGTGTAGTCTCTAGGACTTAGTTGTCTTATCACTGAAAGTTTGCACTCTCTGATCAATAGCTCGCTCTTTACCCTCCCTCAGTCTCTGGGAACCACAATTCTACTCTGTTCTGAATTCAATTTTGAATTTTTTAAAAAAGATTCTACATAAAGGTGAGATCATATAATATTTGCATGTGTGTCTCTGGCTTATTTCATTTAGCAAAATATCCTCCAAGTTCATCATGTTGTCATAATGGCAGAATTTCCTTCTTTTATAGCGCTGAATGATATTCCATTGTATGTACCCACCCTACCCCATACCCCCTACACATACACCATATTTTCTCTATCCACCAACAGACACCTAGGTTGTTTTCATACCTTTGCTACTGTGAATGATGCTGCAATAAACATGGAAGTGCAGAGAGCTGACTGAGAAAGTGATTTTATTTGTTTTAGATACATTCCCAGAAATGGGACTGCTGGGTCAGAAATGACTTCTGCATACATATGAAGAGCCACAATAAAGAGGGATGTGTGCCATGCCTTATCATACCTTAAAGGCTCTAAACATAGGCTGGCTTAAGATACTACACTGAATGCAATATGGCCAGGAAGACATCTGGGTATGCCAGCATCTTTAAAAAGAAAAAAGAAAAAAAGAAATAGCCTACAACAGAGGAAAGAAAAATATAAAAACAGAAGACCTGAAGAACTTCACCAGTGATTTGTGTGAAGTCGATGCAGCTAATGTTGTACTAACCTGAATATTTGTGCTGACACTGAATACTTCAGAAAAATATCACTTTAAGCAGAAAATTAAGAACATTTGCTAACCAGCTGACCCAATGAGAAATTGGGGTCAACTCTGAATTCTCTCTCTCCTTCATCTACCTGTCCAATTAATTGCCAAGTGCAATATGTACCAAATTTCTCTTAAATTGATTACTCTTCTCCGCTCCCACTGATAGTGCCTTACTTCAAACCCTCATCAGCGCTCACCAGCAGAATCTCTAAACATTTCTCTTCTTAGCCCTTGGTGCTCCGGTCACTTCCCATGATTCTGTTAAATGAAGCCCAGTTCCTCCTACAGCAAATGAAGCTCTCCATCACTCGCCTCTAACAGGCCCCAAAGGTGAGCACATCCTGTGAGTGTGTACCTTCCATGGCTAACGAGACTTAGCAGGCATTTCATGATTAAGGTGAAGGGAAGACTACCCAGATAGTCCAGGAGGGTCCAATGTCATCACTAGGTCCTTTACAGGAGGAGGCAGAAGTGTGAGTGTAGGAGAATTTTGAAGATACTCTACTGCTGACTTTGTAGATGATGGAAAGGGCCATGAATAAAGGAGTACGGGCATATTTTAGAAGCTAGAAAAGAAAAGGAAATGATTCCTGCTCTGGCTGGTTTTATTCAGTGCTTAGAGCAGCAGCCCACGGATTGAAGGATCATGGATTGAATTCCTGGTCAAGGATACATACTTAGGTTGCAGGCTCAATCCTCAGCCACAGTTGGGGCATGTGTGGGAGGCAATGGTCGATATGTCTCTCTCACATCAATGTTTCTCTCTCTCTTCCTCTCCTCCCTCCCTACCACTTTCTCTCTAAAGACCAATGGAAAAAATACCCTCAGGCAAGGATTTTAAAAAAAGAAAGAAAGAAAAGAAAAGAAAAGAAAAGGAAAGGAAAGAAAAGAAAAGGAAAGAAAAGAAAAGAAAAGAAAAACACCACAGAAATGATTCCTCCCTAGAGCCTCTAGAAGAAACACAGCCCTGCCCACACCTTGATATTAGCCCATAACACTTATTTTGGACTTCTCATACCCAGAACTGTAAGGTAGTAAATTTATACTGTTTTTAAGCCACTATTGAGGCATACCTCATTTCATTGCACTTTGCTTTATTGCTCTTCACAGATGTGACTTTTACCAATTGAAGGAAGAAAAAGTCTGTGACTGCCTTTATTGTGATACTATCTTGACTGTGGTGGTCTGGAACTAAACCCACAGTACCTCCCAGGTACGCCTGTACCTGTGGTAACTGGTCACAGCAGCAATGGGAAACTGCCACCTAGTCCCACCTGCCTCCTGTTAATAACCCCAGCTGCAGCTAAATACCTCATGCATGTCCATGAAATCCCAAATAAGGCTATTTTGTGTTTGGAGCAGTGGTAGGCAAACTCATTTGTCAACAGAGTGGCAATGGTTTGCTGACCACTGATTTGGAGTATCAGATCCATGAGGGCAGGACCTGGGGCCTGCACTGTAGGATTTACTCAAAAATACTTGATGAGTTCATCAGTGAAAGACTTCAGGCCTTTGCACGTGGTTACCCTCAGTCTTTCATGCCTTTCTTTTATTCGTGCTTAATTATCAAATAGACAGGACTACCTTGGAGATATTGCGAGTCTGCTTTCAGACCACCGCAATAAAGAAGGATCAAAATAAAGCAAGCACTGCAATAGAGCCAGTTGTAACCTTCCCTTTGTAAAAAAAAAAAAAAAAAAAAAAAAAAAAAGCAATACCTATAAAATGCAATAAAGCAAAGCACAACAAAATGAGGTCTGATTGTATTAGCGCTGTTCCCAGTTTTCCCTCCTGGAAATGGTCAGTCTTCCAATTGTGCTTCTCCAGCACCATTCATCTCTCTCTTTTTTTAAAATTACATTTTTATTGATTTCAGAGAGGAAGTGAGAGGGAAAGAGATATAGATGCATCAATGATAAGAGAGAATCGTTGATTGGCTGCCTCCTTTATGCCCCCATTGGGGATAGAGCCCGTAACCTGGGCATATACCCTGACCGGGAATGGAACTGGTGACCTCTTGGTTCCTGGGTAGATGCACAACCGCTGAGCTACACCTGGCCAGGCACTGTTCATCTCTTTATCTCATAATTATCTGTGTGCATGTCTGACTACAAGTTTGTGAAGGCAAACATCATTTTCTTCCTCTGAGAACTCAGCTCATCCAGCACCAAGCATGGTACAAAGAGTGTCTGATTAATAAATGCCTTCCATATTCCCCAAATAATGGATGGTGAGAACATGGGTTGCCCAGTCCTGCAGTCTCCCATCTGTGTCCCATCAGCAAATTACATAAATGTCTCTAGGCTCAGTTGCCCTCCCTATAGGCTGGGGATATAAGAGTACATACAGGGAGTTGTTTGAAGAATCACAGGAGAAAATGCTAAGAAGGTGCACAGCCCAAGCAAGTTTAGAGTAAATGTTAGTTGTCATCAGACTTCCTGTCATTAGTAGGAGATATTAAAGAATGCACGGTGAACTTAGGGAGTGATGCACCAAATTGGAAGAGAGCCAATTGTGTCAACTGAGATCATCAGACTGTCCTGAGATGTCTGTGCTCTTGTGGATACAGGGCTGATTTGGCTTGTGGGCATCAAGCAGCCATAGCACGAGAGTCTCAGCACCCCACATCCCAAAGCTTTGGGGAAGGAAATGCAACACCATGACATTCATGCTCTTGCCAAGTTTAAAAAATGGTTTCAAATATATTGCCTCTGTGAAACACTTCCCTTCCTCCAAGTTCAGCTGCGCATGATTCTTACATGAACAGTTCAGCCAATAAATAAATGTAAAGATAGTGACCAGTCAAAAACTGGTTAAGTAATAAAATCTGACATTAACAGGAAGACAGTTAAGCCTCAAAGACTTGCAGGTATTTCTGACCAATTATTTACTGAGACTCTTTATAAAGATTAAGAGAATGAGACCTAAATCTAGCTACCTGGTTGGACTGCATGGTTACTGATATTTAAATTCTCTGTGCCACAGTTTCCTCATCTATAAAATGGGGATAAAAATAGCACTGCCCTCTAAGGGTTATAGTAAGTATTACATAAGCTAATAAAAATTGTACAAAGTACATAGGGCACATGTGTCAAACACAAGGCCCGCGGGCCAAATCCGTCCAGCCAGGCCTTGCAATGTGGCCCGCACCGCGCTGTCATCACTGCACTCCGCTGCGTTTCCATCACAATGACAGTTTATGACTGTTCAGTAAACCATTCGGCCCGCGATTTAGGCTGGATTTTAGATTTTGGCCCCTTCTCTGATTGAGTTCGACACCCCTAACATAGGGAAATGCCTGACACATTTAGGTATTCATTAAATGTTAGCTATTACTACTATTAATGATGTTTTGAAACAACACAACTTGTACTATCCTATGGCCCATCTACTTTGGATTTAAGAGAATAGAAAAGTTTTATAAGAATCATAAGCATTTGGGAATATTTATTTACTAAAAAAAAATGACTTTTTGAGGATCAATACCCTTAATCAAGGGTTTAACATTTTTTAAATATGTAAAGTGGTTGAACCGAATGAAACCGATCTGATGAGAAATGCTAATGAACTAGGAAATGTTAAAGGAGACATCAATTAAACTTAAAGACCAAAATGAAATTTTCAAAGACAGAAACAGATGGAGAACATGAAATAAATGAAGAAAGTCGGGAAGCAGGAAAATGAAAACAACACTAATTAAACATAAATATTGTAAACAGTTAATGTATGGAAATAAGGTGGTAGACAGATACCATTCTCAAGCCGAGCAAGCTCCTTATTGCAGCTGAAACAGCATTACCTCTTTTAAAGGAAGGTGTGCGCAAGCCATTTAATGTTTCAGTGACCACCCAGTTACAGAAAACAGTCTCTAAGGATGCTATTTACAGAGCCACACACTGTTCCCTTGCATAAAGGCTCATTGGTATGGTCTATAAAAGATGAAGAATAAGATAATGTTTTCAATGAAATATAAAGAACTTACATTAACCTCTTTTATTAGAGGCCCAGTGCACAAATTTCATGCACTCAGTGGGGTGGAGGATGGGGTTTCCTTCAGCCTGGCCTGCACCCTCTTGCAGTCCAGGAGCCCTCAGGGGACGTTTGACTGACAGCTTAAGCCTGCTCCCTGAGCCAGCAGTCAGATATACTTAGTGCTGCTGTGGAGGTAGGAGAGGTTCCTGCTACCACCCCTGTGCTCCCCAGCCATGAGCCTGGCTTCTGGCTGAGCAGCACTCCCCCTGTGGGAGTGCACTGACCACCAGGGGGCAGCTCTTACATTGAGCATCTGCCTCCTGGTTGTCAGTGTGTGTCATAGTGACCAGTTGTTCCACTGTTTGGTCGATTTGCATATTAGCCTTTTATTATATAGGATGGACTAGATCAGTACGTTACACCTGTAACATGTATTACTCCACAACATTCCCAGACATGCATGGGGAGCTCCAGGCATATCAGTGAATCATGCTGGGGAATCCTGAATTTCTAATGACATGGAGGCTTCATTCTTTTCTTCCTTCACTGATGTTAGCTCTGTTCAGGGATGATACAGATGTCCTAGCCAAACTGATGGGCACTACAGGCTGCCAAAAAATCAGTGTGATAAAAACTCAAACTCTGATCACAGACTTTAAGATTGCTCAGTTAAAGACCAAGAGCTTCAAGCATTTCTTCCCTTGGGTAATAAATAAAATGAAAATAAAAAATAAAAGCAGAGGGTACTAACCTCTTTGAGCTCAAGTCTCATTAGAAGAATCAACAAGGTTTCAGCCAGCCTCCAGAGAGGGCCATCCTTGATATGGCCCCATGGTCCTCATTGCTGGCACCACCAAGTGCTCGCTGATGCTGCCTCCTCTCCACCCACTCAGCGTAGATGCCGAGCTGGGCCCCAGAATCCCTTCATGCCTCAAAGTTTTATGCTGTCCTTGAATCCTTTCCTCCAGCTTTTCTTTCCACCATCAGTCTTTCTTAAATGTAATTAGAACAATGCCTGGAACACAGGGAAGGACTGCTTTCTGCAAAGCCATTCCTCATGCTTTTAGCAAAAGCCAATAGTTCCTTCCTCTATGGTGAGAATATGATGATTTTACCTTGTTTTCATATTTATTTCCTTCTTCCCTGGATCACAGTTATTGATATTCTTGTCTCCCCCACTCTATTAGAGAGTGTTTGAGGGCAGAGAGAGTGTCTGATTACTTACCTCACTGTCCATCACTTGTCTAGCATGGTGGTCTGCAAAAAAGATACCAAGTGTAGGACGGATGGAGTACCCTCTAGCCACTTTTTCTGTCATTTCCATTTTTCCTTGTCCTTCTCAAATGGACCCTGACTAATCAGTACTTGGTATTATACCATAGAGACACTCAGCCAGATCTCTTTTTGGCCAAATGAACCTTCCCTTTACCCATGCTCTCTCCAACCAAACTTGAAAAACTGAGTTTTATGTTTCATTTTTTCAATGTCTTGCTTTCTACAGAACTAGCTGTTCAGCACAATTGCCTCAGAAGCTTTCTAAAATACATATAGATTTCTCCTTCTCACAAGACCTACTAAAGCATCATTTTGAGGATGTAGTCTGGGAATCTGTCCAGCTTGGACACTGGTCCTCTAAGTGACATTTGAAAAACGCCTATATAATACATATGTGTTCATGGGTGATAACAGGTGACTCCCATAGACTATATGTTTTTTAAGCAGAAACTTTTGCTGTTTACTCCAGTGCAGTGCTTCTCTAACTAACATGTATGTAAATCACCTGGGATCTTATTAAAATGCAGACTTTGATTCAGTAGGTCTGGGGTGGGGACCAAGCATATGCATTTCTAACAAACCTTCAGGCTATTGGTGTATAGGCCACACTTTGAATAGCAAGGTCACACTTTTAACCTGTTTTGTTAGTTTGTTTTTTAGGAGGCTATTTTAAAACGAAAATCTTCCAAGGCCTCTTATAAAAGACAAAATCAATATTGCATTTGCTTGATTGTATAAATTCAAACTTACAACATTTCTAATTATGAAGTCAGTTAAGTCAAAATATCAGTGAGGTTATTTTGATAAATGCAAGACTTGAAGTCGTAGGTTATGTTAAGACCAAATGAATATTAGAGTTAGTACTTATCTTCACACATCTGGACGAATATCCTGATTCATAGAGAAACAACAGAATAACTATTTATGACTCCTTAACAGCCTGCCTTACAATTTTAGGTTAGGTGTCAGTGAAACAGAAATGACAGGCAAAGCTTTTTTCTAATATATATTTGTGTAAATGCCAGGGCAAGTTTAGGCACTTATTGTCTCCAGTATATTCTAATCAAGGGCATATTTTCATTATAGTGTTCAGTGAGAAAAAAATGAATATAAAACCAAATTAAAAGCAAATATTTGTTTAACCCCTTATCCCCCACTGTAATTTGGATGGAGATATCTTAAAAACCACACCTGGATCCTACCAAGTAGAGTTTGTAGGATTTTCCAGCATTGCATTATGCCTTATGCAGAGGATAATTGTGAAAACAGGGAAGGGCTAAGAGTAGTATCACTTATGAGAGTCTCGCGAGAGTAGCACCTTTGTCCAATTCTCTACAGCAGGCAGAGCCCAGGGGCTTGGCTTCCAGTAGGTTTCAGAATTAGGATTTCCCCCACTCGCTTACTAAAGTTCATCCCCAAACAATGCATTCTTCAGAATAAGCCACGAACATGCCCAGCACTATATACCACCATGCAGAGTGGAGAATGCCCGTGTGTGTGTGTGTGTGTGTGTGAGGCGGAGATGTTAAAAGCATCCAGGTAACAATTTTTTATGTTCAATGGATGGTTCTGTCTCAATATTAAAGAGCCTGGTAGCTTTTAATGATGAAAAAATTATGCAAACATTAAAAAACAATTTTATATAATTATTTGGAGTTTGCTTTCATTTTACAAACAACAATTTAAAATAAATCCATTAATGCTGTCTTTGGGGATTTCTCGTAAGTGAGAGGAAATACATCATACAGTAGAGTTGGGGGTTGGTTTAATACTAGAAATTAAGCTCTCCTACCAGCAGTGCATTATG